CCAAGAACTAACATGTTTTCAGCTTTAAATCGAATATCTCTTGGTAAATTAGAAATAGCTATATAAATTACACCAGTACTATACTGGGTTCTATCGAATAGCTGAAACTAGTTCAAATTTAATATAAATCCAAGATGTGCATTAGCCGATTCTTGTGTAAAAAATTGACTACCAATTGATTCTTTATCAGCAAATTTTTTCCAAACTTGACTATCATAAATGTCAGAAAGAATGCCTTTAGAAACATTACGATGAGTCCATTTTCTACATAATTGTTCAAAATTAGGACATATATATATTTTTGCAAGTTGACTTTTGATACTTGCAAAAGGATAAAGTAAAATTGGCTTATTAATAGTGCTACTATTTGCCTAGATCCAATTATATTCAGAAATTCAACATATTATATTTTTTTACTAATAATTGTCTATTATTATCCTATGAATCAACAACCTCTTTTTCAGTATATAGTTTGTTACATTTTGGACGTACTGAATATGTTATAAAGTTACCAATTTTAAGATATTTTCGAAGCATATACATTGAGGTTAGAAAATCTTTAAAAAGATTTTCATCAACAAACTCACATAATAGTTAACGAATATATTTAATTAAAATTTTAGTAGCTGTTTCAGACACTTTAAAATCACTTTGAAATTTTAATAGCCAAATTAATATATCATCAAAACTAGATAGTATTCTAAGTCTAGGTTGAGATTTATTTTCATAATCAATGTTTGGTGCTAAATAATCTTCAAATTTATTAATATTGCTATATCGAATACTTTCGGCTAATTCTTCTTCAGATGATAGATCATTATTATTATTATTATTATTGTAATCCAATACAATATTATTATCACTACTTTCATCTGCCAAAGTGATAACTTGTTCTTCTGTATTTAAAATATTTATTTTAGTACTTGATATTTGTTGGTGTTTTTTTAGTAAAAACGATAAGTTATCTATATTAAAGCTAAATAAAAGTTCATTATCATCTCTTTTTATATCTGACAATGAATCAATTGTTGTTACTGATTGTTGGCTTAGGCCACTTAATTGATTTAGACTACTTAATTCTTTAGATAGAGCTAGTTGTCTTATCTTATTTAAATCTGTTTGAGACGATTGTTGGCTAGTAGTTAAAGAGTGTTGCTCTTTTGTACGAGAATCAACAAACTTGCCTTTACACTTTGGGCAATTGCATATAACTCTTTTACGTGTTCTATAGATTGAAATAAGTAATGGTTTAGGAGTCGAAGTAGAAGATTTAGATTAATGGGATGAATTTTGGCCAATAGTTTTTAAAATATCTTTTGTACTTTGTTTTCGATAAATTATAAATAATATTATAAGCTATTGTAAGCTAAAATTTATTTCTTTATACAATTAGTATCTATTTATAAAAAATTTATTTTATATTATATTATATTATAACAGGTTTTAATTTAATACTTTGATTACAAAGTTAAATGTAGCATGATTTTTTTATAAAGCTAATATGATTTTTTTTATAAAGTAGATTATAACGCACTCTAATTTAATACTTTATTATTATAAAGTTAAATATAGCAACCCACTTTATTATAGTTGAATATTATATAATTTAAATTGTAAACTTGATTATGACGCGCTTTATTATAAAGTCAAATATGGTATGATTTTTTCTTTTTGAATATGTGACATGCTTTATGTACTTTATATAAAGTCGAATATTGTATGATTTTTAATTATTAATGCTTTTTATAAAGTTAAATATTGCATGATTTTGATTATAAATCTCGTTTATGAAGTCGAATTTTTGATTAGTAATATCGTTTATTTGCATGATTTTTAATTATAAACCTCACTTATGCAGTCGAATCAAATATTGCTAAACTTATTATGATATATTTTATTATAAAGTCAAAAATTGCATGATTTTTGATTATAAACCTGATTTTATGAAGTCGAATATTGTATAATTTTTGATTATGACCTCACTTATGAAGTTAAATATTACATGATTTGCATGATTATCACATGACTTATAACACTAATAAAAGTAAAGTTTTTTTACTAATGATATAATTCGCCATGTATTCAATCTCTTATTCAATACTTTCACATAACTCATAAGCACGCTAATCAAAATACAAAAAAAAATTTGATATATAAATAACAATTCAACATACTATTTCTATTTAACTTTTCATTTGATAGTATCATATAACTTATGTCCGAAATTCTACCCTAACTACTCCGGACATCTATCGATTTACATAATTGGCGCAATAGTAGACAAAAAAATCAAATACATAAAGTAGTTAAAAAAGTACTAATTGAAAAAGAATATACATTTAAATAGATTAGCTATATTTGACTAATTTACAGCTTTCGGATGATAGTCGAATGATGGTCCAGAAAATAAATGTAAGAAATAATACAAAAAATAGCTAGTTTTTTTTTTACATTATTTGATTTTTTTTTACATTCTTCATTCAGATGTATTTTTATATTTGTGACTTTCTTTAAATTGCGCTACTATTAGAACAATCAAGATTCAACCAGGCTGAATGTTATATTCAGTACATGAAATTAAATTAATTCGACTCATGAATTTATGATTGAAAATTAAAATTCAATCTACAAATTTATAGTCAAAAAAAATCAACCTTAGTATATGGGGTGAGTCAGTAGAAAAAGAACAAATTATTTTTAGTAAATTTTTTTTAATTTTTAAATTAAAATATCTCAACAAGAATTTAATCAAATTTGCTAAAAAATTATTTATTTTAATCTTGAAATTATATAGAATTAAAATAAAAAAAAATTTATTAAATTTAATAAGATAGTTGTTAAGATATTTAATCTTAAAGTCAAGAAAACTTTTACTTAGAAATATTTGTCCCTTTTCTACTAACTTACCCCCATATATGTATATATATACAGCATAAATTAAGGTCGATTTTAATTTTGTCGAATTTTAAATATGCTAAATATAACATTCGGCCTGGTTGAATCTTGATTGTTCTACCAGTGTATTGAGATATCAAAAAAGATCTTTATCATATCTGAAATTGTATTGTAGAACCTACTTTGTATTCTAATTTTTATATATCATAATCAGTATATAATTAATATAATTAACAACTATAATGTCATTTTGAATTGTTTAAAAGTAATATAAAATCATAATCAATCTTAAAATCATCGTGAATTGTAAATTGACTTTTAACATACTGAATGTCATTGATTTTCTTTTTTCAATAGTATGAAGTCAAATTTCTTATAATATATCGAATATTATTGATTTTCTTTTTAATAGTAACATATTGACGTATAACAGATCGATTTTTTCAATAGTATAAAGTCAAATATTGACTTATAATATATCGAAAGCTATTGATTTCTTTTTCATATTGATGTATAACTGATTGATTTTTTTTTCAATAGTATGAGTCAAATTTACATATTGGCATATAAAAGATTAATTTTTTCAATAGTATAAAGTCAAATATTGACTTATAATATATCAAAAGTTATTGATTTCCTTTTCATATTGACATATAACTGATCAATTTTTTTTTTTAATAGTATAAGTCAAATTTACATATTGGCACATAACAGATCAATTTTTTCAATAGTATAAAGTTGAATATTGACTTATAACATATCGAAAGTTATTGATTTCTTTTTCATATTGATATATAACTGATTGATTTTTTTTTCAATAGTATGAGTCAAATTTACATATTGGCATATAACAGATCAATTTTTTCAATAGTATAAAGTCGAATATTGACTTATAAAATATCGAAAGTTATTGATTTCTTTTTTATATTGATGTATAACTGATCGATTTTTTTTTCAATAGTATGAGTCAAATTTACATATTGGTGTATAACGATTGATTTTTTTTTTAAAGTCAAATTTATGTATTGGCTTATAACATATCAAAAGTTATATTTTGGCACATAACAGATCTTTTTTTTTTTTCGTCAAATTTATGTCTCATAATATATCGTTCATAGTAAAGTCAACTTTTGTTAAGCGATCGGAATTTAAAAATCATTTATATATACAACAGTTTTTTTTTTTTTGAGAAACTTCTCTTCTCTTCTCTAAATTTCTCTTCTCTGAATTTCTTTTCTCAAAATTCTCTTCACAAAGTTTTTTTTGCTAAATTTTCTCTTTCAAAATTTTTTTACTTCTCTTTTTGAATTTTTCTTTTCTTCCCTTTACTTTTTTTCACTTCTCGAATTTCTTTCTTTTTTCAAATTTCTCTTCTCTTACCGAATTTCTCTTTTTAATTTTCTTTTCTAATTGAATTTCTCTTCACTTTCCAAATTTCTTTTCACTTTTTGAATTTTTTTCTTCCCAAATTTCTCTTCTCCTGAATTTCTCTTTTCTCAAATTTATCTTTTCTTATCGAATTTCTCTTCACTTCCCAAATTTCTTTTTTCTTTTCTTACCAAATATCTCTTCACTTTCTGAATTTCTCTTTTCTTATAATTTCTCTTCTCTTACCGAATTTTTTTTCACTTTTCGAATTTTTTGTTTCACTCTTTTCATATTGAATTTCTCAATTTCTCTTTTCTTATCATTTTTCTTTTTTTATCAAATTTCTTTTTACTCCTTTTTTTTTTACTTCTCGAATTTTTTTTTTCAAATTTTTTTTTACTAAATTCTCTTTTGCTATGGCTAAAACAAAAAGAGTTCGACAAACAACATCTCCAAGCCGACGTCCATCTACTACAACTCATCGTTAACCTAACAATACACCTTCAACTCCAACAACTCCAACTCAACATCAACCCAACAATACACTTTTAACTCCAACAACTTCAACTTAATGTCAACCTAACAATACATCTTCAACTCCAACAACTCCAACTCAACCTCAACCTCAAACTACACCTTCGACTCCAATTCAACCTCAAACTACACCTTCGACTCCAATTCAACCTCAACCTACACCTTCAACTCCAATTTAACCTTAACCTACACCTTTGACTCCAATTCAATCTCAACCTAACAATTCACTTTCGACTCCAATTCAATCTTCGATCTGATTATCAGGAAATGTGACTTCTGTTGAATCTGTTACTCCTATCCTGAGGTCTCCTGTAAGAACAAATAGAAGCAAAAGCAAAAGCAGAAGTAGAGAATGAACCAAATCTTTGGCCAACTTTGATCTATTGGAAAGAAGTAGAAAACTGGAGAATGATAAATCTACTGGTAGAATTTAAATAGCTATCGAATACTGATTTTATTTTTTTACTTTTTTTTATATTTTTTACTATTTTTTTTATTGTCTTTTTTTATTATTATTTTTTTATTTTTTATATTTTTTTTTATTTTTTTATTTTTATTTTAGAAAATCAGTTGCTATAGAGTAAGATCGATACTTTACGTGAGATTCAAAGGGATCAAGATAAAATTATGCAGTTGAAAGATATTGTGGATTTGTTACAGGATCAAGAACTTAAGTTCGTAGACTTTGAGAATAGTTTGGATGTGTTGCAGGGTTTATATAACTCCTTAGTTGATCAGATTAATAGCTTGCAAGTTTTAAGTCGCCAGTTATTGATGATTCAAGAGCAGGTCGATTGGGAAGAAAGCAATGTGTCAGAATCTTTATCTGCCACATAACAAAAAACAGCTAGAAAAGCTCCTGCGAGTAATGAGTTTTTGAAAATGACTATGAAAGAAAAAAAGCACTTTGTGTATATACTTTTAGATTTATTTTTTTGTTTTTATTAATAATCTTAATTTATTTTTTTTGTTTCTATTAATAATTAATTTATTTTTTTATTTTATTTTATTTTATTTTATTTTTTAATTAATTAATAATTAATTTATTTTTTTATTTTATTTTTAATTTTATTATTAGAAAGAAATTTTTTTACATTCTTAAAGAAAAAGGTGAAGAGTATGGACTTAACTTCAACAAAAAATTGGAAGACCAAAAAGAATGCCTAAGTAATATACAATCCCTACACTATTCGATCTTTTGGGCTAGCGGTTTAACACTGATTGGACAGAATTGGGAAGCATTCTGCAACAACATATCAAATCGACCCGTAGCACTCGGGCTATACATCAGGATTCAGATAAAACAAAGAACTTCGATAAACATATATATAATAATTACCAGAGAGGTGATGCATGTTTTCATTATTTATTTTATTATAATTTTTATTATTTATTTTATTATAATTTTTATTATTTATTTTATTATAATTTTTATTATTTATTTTATTATAATTTTTATTATTTATTTTATTATAATTTTTATTATTTATTTTATTATAATTTTTATTATTTATTTTATTATAATTTTT